AGATAGCTTTGCAATGTACGAACTGCAATGTCAAGTATTGAGATTACTGGAATAGAGAAAAAAATCTTCCATTAAAAATAAGTTTAGTTACATACAGCCAACACAAGCATGAAGCAAACATAACAAAATATATTAGACATTCAAAACTAAACACAAAGGACACTGTCAAAAAAATATGTGAGATTTCACGTTATCATGGCAGTGATAATCACAATTAGGGTCTTTTGATATGTGCTGCTGTGTAGTTGGGCAGACATGTATAAACAAATGTGAAAGTCATCTTTATTTAGGTTACAAGAAGGAATAACATGACTGAATATGAAACTTTAACCACTTGCCATTTTGACATTCCCATCGCAGCTTAGCGACAAGATATAGAGAGGTAAGACTCTTCTAAATGTGCATCATGAAACAAGCATTCTCAGTTGCGCTTTCTGAGGAAGGAGGAGCTTTCACTTGGCATTTCAAGAACATAAACTGACACTTCAGGGTATACTGGGTCATTTTGGTGTAGTCTCTGCATCTAGTACATGTGGTTGCTGATGGCCCTGTTATGTGCCAATGTGTTTATTGATGATTCAAAGAGTCTTTTAACATGATTTATGTTAGTGAGAGGTAACAAACCTTTAGATATATTGGTCAGAGTAGCAAGACAACAGATGTGACCTATATGAAACATTTACATGTGAAAAGAGAAAACAATCATGAAGGATCAAGAACAGAGTATCATGGACAGCAAGTGTCTCCTATAAAGAATATATCAAAATACATTTAAACTGTTCCTGAAACAGCTTCCTGCCTTCTCTCACACACGGTTTCCTTGCTTATATCATTCTACCACTGGTACCAAGAATTTCTGTATCATATTTTTCTTCTTGTTAGAAAAAAATTGTAATCATTGCCCCTTAAGTAATTTATAAAACAAATTTATATATTCACTTAAAGCAGAAGAAATCCCACAACTGCTAATTCATTTCAAGTTACTTTAAACAAAATATGCATAAATTTCTGTAATCATTTCAGATAGGCGAGTCCCAATATCTAATAACACATATTTAAAGTTTACTTCCATTCAAATTATTTTTCATTAAACATGTGTACCTTCAATTCATGCGTTGTGTGTCACATTTTCATTAATTTCTCAATTCTTCTTGGCACCGTTGCAGTGTGTAAATCACATTTAATTTCTTTACATTATCAAACATTTCCAACTATTTATCATGTGAGTGAAAAAACAAACCCCTTCACTACATAGTTAACGCCATTACTGCTTGCATATCTCAGTGTTGGAAGACCAAAATACACATTGGTCACTGCCTCACAATTTAGGCAGTGGAATGAATATGAACACACTGTGCGCCATGACATTGGGCATTCAGGGGTTTAGTTGCAATGCATGTCTAATAACCACAATTGCTCATTCCTAGATTCATGCATATTTCTTCCTGAACTGAATGTTTTTATAACTTTCCTTTAATCATCACAAAATCAAAGCTGAAAAATCACTGTAATCAACAGCAGCATTAACTACTACTATAGACTCCATTTGGGATGGACAGTAACTTGTTCCAATTTGAATATTAAGCAACATATTTATAGAATATCCTTTAAATAATGAAAAACCATAAATCAGATATAAATTATGCAACTGAACACTGATCATTTGTACAGACACACCTCATGCTGTTATTTTCTTCCCGTTACCTCCTCGGGAAGAAAACAAATTATATACACTACATTCTAGTTTGTCTGCAACATGAAAACTTAAGCTGCAAATAATGTTGCCAATTGTATGGCATCAAAAGGCACATAAATTGATTTACAGCACAAAACATGATTTGCATGAATCAATGGGCATGTTTTTTTAAGCAAACCATCCAGGCAAATTTATCTTACTCATCTACTATAACAATCAATTAAAAAAACTGAAGTCTTTGTCATTTTTAAAATTCTCAATATTCAAAAAATATTTCTACACATTAAATAATTAATATTTATTTTAAATAAATGCACAGCCAGTAATCCATGGTTAGACATCAAGTTTCGGAAAGACTAAAAACATCACAAACATAAATAATATGATCACAACCGCAATGACAATTGTGACACTGTTTTTAAGACCTACATAATGCTAATTTGAGCACACCTGTAAGAATTGTAGCAATGAATAGACACGTTACCTGCGTCAACTCTTCCTTTGATTTTAAAATCCTAATTGACAAAACATAGCTGTACTCCATTGACTCCTTTAAAATAGTCTTAAATCCCCATACTAAAAGTTCTACAGTTTTCCATTCATCCATTTCAAGATGATAAAATATTTGAATATGGACATTTGTTGGCCTTGTGCTGGCTTGGCACAAGGTGTCTTCATATACATTTGCTCCATTAATGGTGCACTTCTTGCACACCATCATATTAACACTTCTAATATCAACAACGCTCTCATCTTCTTTAAATATATACATTACTAATATGATATAATTATATATTTATATATAGTCAACCTCATTGGTACATTACTTGTAAACCGCTAATTACAAGCAATGAAAATAAACAGCAAAAAAAAAATCAATAACAAAAATACTGATTCCATTTGTTCATAAAATTTTAAGTAATTCGTTTGTCTTTCTGGCTGAGTAATAAACTTAAGTTGATCCCTGCATACTAGAATGCATAGATTATTTTCCTTTTATGAACATGGTAAATACCTTCTGAACAATGGAGTGGTAAAAATCACTATTCCCTGGAACTTGCTATGTCACATTCACGTTTCTTTAGAGTCGTAATTCCCCTTCCCTATCCTTACATTCTCTTGTTGAGTGGTCCCACAGCCATTCTTGCTGAGATGTACAGAACACAATAAAACACCACATGTACATAGACATAAACTGTTTACACAGCAGGCAGCTTTGGTCCCTCCATAGATATCGCAACAACACCATGGGACACCATGAGGTAGGCAGCAAGTTTTGATTGCACTCTCAGATGAAATAAACAGTTGAAAGCTGCTGGCCACAAGTCAGGGGTCACTTGTACAACATTTAAGTCTAGGGAGACATTTTCACATGTTAAACTGATGATACTACAACAGCCAACTAGCACTAAAGTAAGTGTTCACTCAACTTTCTAACTCTACCATAATAACAAGAATGTGAGACCTACTGCAACACACTTTAAACATTCCGAGTAACATGGGTCAAAAATGAAGCATCTTTCAAACTATCAAGTCTCCATAACCATGTGTGTCTAATTACTAATTACAACTGAGGTCAGAACTTGAGAAATCTGCTGCCTCAGCCTGAAATGTGTACAAACTGATCCAAACATCACAACAGATCAATCTTGGCCTATGGTTCCAGAGATCAGGGTAAGCACAGCTTTTTGCCCAAGCTATATTCTTTATATGCATGTAGTGCTTACTTTTGGAAAGCTGTAAAATAGCTTTTTCATTTCAGTAACTGAGTAAAACATATATGGAATGTTTTTCACTTATATTTATAAAAATGCAATGAAAACAGGTTTCTCAGGGTGACATAATGCTTGCACTACATAAAATATTTATATGCACAGAATAAAGATATAACAAATTGATTCTGAAAAACATGTACATGCAAGTAACATATTGCAGCAAATGGTCAAAATTACGATATATTCAGAACTACAAACAATTTACTTAAAAACCTAAAATATACTACTTGTTCAATTTATAACACTGAAAGTGGTGTTGCTTTCTTTCATTTTTAGTGAACATCTAATTACACAGGATTGTCTTCTTACATGCCACTAACAGAGTCACAGTGGCACTTACAAGGTTATGGCAGATTATCTCTCAACATCCCCACAAACATAATACAGCACCTATGTCACTTCCTTCAATCCTTTTTATATTTACCAATATGAATAATGGAGAAGTGGATCGGAGGGAACTTGATTAAAAATGGCAAGAGCATCATCCTTCACTTTGTACTTGTTGGACTGTGTTGCACAATAGAAGAGAAGCCATTCCACTGCCACATGTAGCCTCACAAGCAGAAGCTCTGTTACAAAAAAAAAAAAAAAGTTCACATTGATGAAGAAAAGGAACTGATCATGATAAATTCCTCCACAATAATACAGCCTATGCCTATTCCTCAGTTTATGCATCTACTTAGCCCAATAAGTTGCCTACAGAAAAGGACATTCAAGTTGTCAGATCAAAGGAATTTTCTGTATAATCAAGGTGGTAAAAAAGGTTCATGAAGTAAAACACTTACTGTCAATTTATTTAACACTGTGAGTATCTCGAGTATATATAACATCAACAGCACTTAATATTAAAGGTTTCTATATATTTATATATCTCTTGTAGACAAAATCCAACTGTTAAAAATCTTAGTCATGCCTCAACATCACTTCATTAACTTTACAAGGCATAGTACAAAGCTGAATATTTAATGCAGTTTAAATTTTGAGTAAACCTTGGAAATAATAGAAAAGATACTGTGACATGTTGCGCAACGGAGGACCCCCCCCCCCGGGCGGTACGTGGCGGCATCATAGCGCTCTCGTTACTATGGTAATAGGCGAGTCAACACCCCACCCCTATCCCCGCGGTGACGTAACACGCAACGCTGCAATTGCTACGCACCCATTACCTAACAGGCAGACACTGCGACTATATAAGGGAATTACACAGCCACCGAAGTCAGTTAAAGTGTATCAGCGGCCGAAGACAGTTCTCCAGTCAGCAATGAATGAGTTAAAAGCGTATCAGTCGCCGAAAACAGTTCTCAAGGCAGCAGCCTACGAGTTGAGTTGGAACATAGCAGCCTTCTCGGAAAGAAGAACCGGACGTGTGTGTAATCGAGTAATTGGGAGTGTGTGATACAGTGACACTTGTATAGCTCCCGTATCGTAATTAATACGTGTAGACTACTGAGGGCAGAGTGAACTGATTATTGCGAATAGGGTTATAAAGTGTGAAACCACACAACAGTGTTGTAATTAATTGTAGCCGAGACTTGTACATTGTTAAATAAACCAATTAACAATCCGAATGGCATCTTCAGTAACGCCACACGTTACAATACTATTGGAGGAATTGTCATGGAGATTGACAATACCTGCCAAATTAGGTGCCAAGGATCAACATCTTAGTTGCTTACAACAGAGCACTAACTGTTCCTTGCCAACAGCATTTTATGCATACAAAAAGGAACATACAGGACAAACCTGACAAGGAAACTGTTGTGAATAAAGTACGACTCTGGCAGGAGGTTACACAAACATGTATCTTCTTCATATACAAATGTATATGATATTGGATTCGAGATTCTCACAGCATGACTACGAAAAGTACAATCTTTTGGGATGTAATGCCATGTAGCCCAGTATAAATTCTCTCACATTACATGACATGACATCCCAGAAGGGAGTATTCTTCAAATATACAAGAAATCAAACATACACTAGTAGTGGAATGGCCATCTTAAACTTTGCAGCACATTTGAGACAGAAAGAAATTTCATTTGTTTTAAAGGATGTCCAGGTTGAATGCTGAGGTTGAATCAAGAGAATTGAGCAGTTCCTGGGCAGCTGCCGAGAAATGACTCGAATCTCCAGTTGGCAAGTGTTCAAGGAATTCAAGACTAAAGTCTGGAGTGGGCGGTGGGGGCTGTGACACACTCTGCTGTGCAGATGAGACTGGTGCTACTGAGCTAGATGTGGCTGGGGGGTGCTGCTGTTGCTGCTGCGGAGGTGGTGGTCCTGGGTTCCCTGCTCCTGCGCCAACAGGACTCCCTCCATAGCTTACAATGGGCTGCTGCTGTGGGGCTGCAGGCTGCTGGGAATGATGAGAGTGGTGATGGGGTGAGCCTCCCCCTCCTGCACTCACTGACATTGACTGTGACATCTGCAGGCTCATTGACATCTGTAAAAGAAATGCATAAGTTTACACCCCCACATCAATACCAGGATTCTTTTGTCAAAGATCACAAATTGCCACTGCTGCATATGGCTATCTTAATTAATGACAGCATCCATTCTGCTGCACTTAATGTCTAATCCCTAGTACAGAGCACTGTTATCTGATTACAACTATCCAATCTCATTTACTTTACATATATTTATTCTCTTGCTGACTTGACGGTATCCTGGAGAATATAAATTGCCCCTTGAATACCAAAATGAACTCTGGCACCACATATGCACTCTTGACCACCTGGTAAACCTGGTGCACCATATCCAGAATTGTTTTCATGTGTTAACTTGCCATCATTCTTTTCTTTAACTCAGAGAAGGCATACAATACCAACTTGGGATATATTGTGAAGAACCTTCACTGACGCATTATTAGGAGCTAACTTTTTCCAGGGCTATTTTTTCCATGTTTGTCTTGGTACAGTGTTTCTTTCATTTTACTTTCAATAACATGGGAGGGCCACATGAATTGCTTTCAGGTGTGATGCTATTTGCAGTCACCTTCAACAGGATGGTTAGTTAACACAACTGTTTCATCAATCTCATCATCACTGCATGATGAGCCACTGCTTTCTACTGCGGTTTCTGGGGCGTTCCAGCTACAGATAGCCGCACATTTGTCACACATGGCTCTGCAGCAACAACCCAGCATGTATGGTTCACACAATTGCTGAGTACACATCCTGCCCCTGATCTGTTCCTTACCAACAGCACTCTGACATGTGCTCCAGCTGTCACATATCTAGGACTTCTTCACAGAAAACTGTCACAGGAACTTCACTTCCAATGGCTCTGCATCACAAAATGGTCTCTGCAGATAATAGGGCGGAGGCTGGATGGTGAGGCTTTCACTTAACTTGTGCCGTATCCCCTCTATACCAGATTATGGCAACTTTGCCTATGGCTTCGCCGCAATACCTAGGCTGTTCATAATTGATCCTGTCCATAACGGTGGGATCTGTCTTGTCACTGGCGCCTTCTGCAACAACACAGGGAGTCTGCATGTGGAATGTGGAAATATCTTTCCATATGTTCCTATGCAGCAAGCCTGGCAACTCAACACAATCATCGCAACAGGTACAGCTCCTGACTTGTGGATGCACACCTTCAGACCACTCTTCAGTGCCATAACACATACTTGCTGCATATCATTCCCATCAGATTCTTCTCCAGTCCACCCTGGCACAAAAAGCAACCATCCCGTGACCTTCAAACTCATCCCACATGTGATAAGCAGAACACTTCCCCTGATGTACTGCCAGCACATTTTCAAAGAGCACTTTGTACTGACAGGTCATGTATTCATAACTCGATGGGCTGTACCTTCATTTATGAAGGTCGGGTCTCTTCTTAGCAGCTAGACAGTTTCAAAAGCATGTGCACAGCACACTTGTTTTACAAATGGACATTTGCTGCCAGGTGGCCCAGCACCTGTCTGCACACAGCATGGTGTGTCTCTTACTGTCTGACACATCCCACCTTGGAGACAATCACTGTAACATACCTATGGTTCTGGCATTCCTTTGTGGTGTTGGGGTTCACAACTGAAACTCTTATCCTTCCAATTCAGCCATTTTACCTTCAGCATTGTTTGGGACCTCACTGGCCCACGTGCAGCCTGTTTTATCATCAACTTCCACCTACACATTTAGGATTGTTTCATTTATATCCAGGTGCAAGTAGCCACAGATGACCTGGCCACTGACCCACCAGAACCCACAACACAATGATATACATTTCACAGCTAGCAGTTATCCTCTGGATTCTGCAGTCCTCAAGCTGAGTGCATGCGGGACTGTATATATCACCTGTGTAGCATTAGTTGGAACTGCCGCTGACTGGAGACCCAGGGACTGCTGCTGTGAGATCATCTGCATTTGGCTTACTGGTGACCCTGACAGGGCTTGATTATGAACCAGTTGCTGGTGCTGCATCTGCTGTGCTGCTGACAGTTGAACACCTCCTTGGCCACTCCCCATTCCAAATGAACCTGCAACAATACAGCTTATATAAAGAAGAACATGAGATGTACCAGGGAGGCAAGAGAGAGAGCCAGACACAGACCAGCTCACAATACATACCTAGTTCATATCATGGTTTCAAGTCCATGCCAATGCAGTTTACAGAGTGAATGTGGTATACTAATATATTTACTGTATTATGTTGTGGTGACCAAGTGCACTCCATTCAGTCTGAGCTGATCTTTTAAGATTTGGCTGAAATTCTGAGGCATTACTGGAGGTGCAATGATTGAAACTTGCTCTTTCTAACACATCCAATGGAGCACAGACCTCTCTTTTTACACCCGATGACATCCAAAACACAAGTGTTTTGAAAAAAGGAGCCAGGATAGCTCAGTCAGTAAAATGACTGATTATGTGCTGGACAGCTCAGGAATCTGGGTGCCACTCCCAACAGGGACAAGACATTTTTATCTTCTCTACAGAGTCCAGATAAACTGTGGGGCCCTCCAAGCCTCATATCTAATGGGCACTGGGGTTCTTTCTCTAGGTGTAAAGTGGCCAGGCTGTGACAGTTCCTTCACTGCCATCTACTACCAAGGTTATGAATGCATGGAGTTAATAAGCACAGGGACAACTTTACTCTTTTTCATCTCTGTTTTGAAAGAACTTAACATAATGGCCAATTTCCAGAACAATGATCATTCACCACATTAATCATGTTATTCATTTTAATTTATGGATCTCTTGGAACTTACAATGAATAATTCTATACAATAGTAGTAAAATTAAAATATACAAAACTAACTCTGCCTGTAGCGGTCTCCGTAGTCTAGGGGTAACGTTCCCACGTCGTGACTCAAGGTACACGGGTTCAAAACCGGTGGAGGTCGTGGAATTTTTAAGGGCGGAAAGATTCAGGGAACAAGTCCTCTGGGAGGGACTTCAAGCCGTGGGTCCCGTGTCATAGATGTCTCTAGGAGACCTCTGAGCAAAATTAGGTAAAAAGTTTCTGGCCCAAGTAGTTTCCAATGCCTCCGGTAGATGGGGGAAGTATTGGGTACCACTGCCAGTAGATGGGCCGAACTCGCTGGCTGAACAGGGCTGATAGCAAGCACCAGTACCAGAAGGGTATGGCGACCGGTAGAATATCAAAGGGGGATGTACAATAGATCAACAACTGGTCATGGTGCATGGGGAAACCCACCCCCTGTAATAATGAATGAACTCTGCCTGTGGTACTGAATGGGTACGAAACTTGGTCTCTGACGGTAAGGGAAGAACACGGACTGAGGGTGCTGAGAAGAATATCTGTGCCCAAGGGGAATGGAATAACAGGAGGCTTCTAACACTGCATACTAAGAAGCACATAATTTTTACTCCTTGCTGATATAATAATAATAATGATAATGATTAGATGAGTGGGGAACATAGCACAGATGGGAAAGAAAAGAAATGTGTACAGTTTTGGTTTGAAAACTAGGAAGACCTATATAACAAAATATAAATCTCTAGGCCATTACAATGGAGGCTGTGTTCAGCAACATGTTCTGCGATGGGAGCTCCTCCCACAGAACTCCTAATGCGCACAGAAGTGAGGTGGGTGCTTTCAAGGTTCTGTGAACTGAGGGAACAGCTTATAATTTTTCCACGTCTGAACATTCTGAACTGGCTGACCTGCTTAGTGATGAGACCTGATGCAATACAGTTGCTTTCCTAGCTGACACCTCCCAAGCCTTGAACACTCTTAACAAGTGTATGCATGGGAAAGAACGAAAATATTCTTCCTTGTATGGACAAAATTAACTCTTTTAAGGAAACACTAACACTTTATGGATCCAGAATCAAAAAAGGGAACAAAGTTTAAGTGTTTAAGTGACAGAAAGTTGCAGACTCGACAAATATTCTGTCAACTGAATTCTACAAAGTATGTCACTTCTGAGTAAAAACAATGAAAAGTATTTCCGATCACTTGATAGTTCTTCCTTGGACTGGATGAGAGATCCATTTGTGTTAAGAGCCTTCGATTCAGAAGAATTTACTGTTCCAGAAGAAGATGAGCTGAGGAAATAAGAAACAGATATGGCCTCATTCTGGTTGTCTCTCCGACAGGAGTACTCCATCATCACAAGGGTGATTGAAGCACCCCCAACTTTCTCTACAGCGTATCTGTGTGAGGCTGAATTCTAACAGCAGGAAGAGGTACAGGCTTCAAACACAGGAGGAGGGGACAGGGGGCATCATGAAGCATCACCAAGCACAGGTTTTTTATGCTTACATGTAGCCTTTTTATTTCTACTCACCTTTATATTTAAATAAATTTCTTACCCTCTTCATACTTATCGTAAATAAAAAACATTAATGCACCATTAAAATTTTCCACCATAGAGCAGACCTGATATTTTATTTTTTCACTGAGGAAAAGAAAGGGTTGTGTGTTATATATATATATAGAGAGAGAGAGAGAGAGAATGGGGGGGGCCCACTTTTTGGGGGCCAATCACATACATCATAGGATTTTTTTTTTTTTATAAATGACAT